CCTTGAGGCCGATCGGTTATTAGGAAAACTGGAGCATTTTTCGGAAACAATCTTTGGTACATTTATATCAGCTTTATGCTTTTCTTACTGATAAAAGTTGAATTGTCAAGTCGCAGCGACACATGATAACTCCGCTTTCAGTATTTACGGGTAACCATGTGCAGTGAGTGTGCATGCGTTTTAGGCGACCAACTACGATCTGACTATGACTGGGTATTCTCTAACCACAGGTTAATTAATTAAGAAGCATATCGAAGTGGACTTCGCATATGATAAGCGGCCACATTGGTCTGTCTGCGTTAGATACATTAAAAAACCAAAGCGGAATACCAGTGAGATTAGGTGTTTACCTATAAATTCACATGGGTGTGCGTAACAATCCTGCAGTACTTGTGCTCCTAGCTTGTAGGAATAGGTACTCTGGTATCGTATGGAGAGTCTCTTGCATTTGTCAACGTCGCACGGCAACAGGTTTCGGGTTGACCACCCTTGTGCTAAATCTAGTTCAGGCTGAAGTAAATTATGATAAAGATCCACTTGAATCCGACGCCAACATGCTGATATGGTCTGCAAACAGCAGGAAATTTGAAGCGACAATACGTGCATGGTTATTGGTGAATGCCAAAAACAATCGTGGACCTAGGATTGAGCCATGGGGCACAACAGACTCATCTAGTATGGGTTCAGACAAGGTCCTTCGTACACTAACCACTAATTGTCGTTGCAGGAGGAAGTAAGCCATCCAGCTCAAGTGAGGCTCACCGATCCCAAACAATTGCAGCTTTGAAAGGAGAATCCGATGATCTAAATCAGGCAATCTGAACCTTTATTCAGCCGTGGCTCCTTTTAGAAGCTTCCCATTTCTCATGGCCCCCCACACTTGATCACCACAAGTTCGACAATCCACAATGCCTAACAGACATAAATCTTTGAGTTCTAGTGGTCATACTGATATCATTTGTTATGGTGGCTAAATGTTTGTTGCTGGTATCACTGCTCTTTCCTGTATAAATCTTCATTTTAACTTTCATGGCCTTAAGATAACAGTCATAGTGCGGCAACGTCAAGCCAATGGTCTGCAGTTATACAAATGTCACCATTAATATTTAAGAATGTATTTAATTATGGTTGGCTTTTAACTGTAAGGCATGTCATGAATTAATATGTATACTAAATTCTTAAGAACATGTTTATCGAAATGTTAATGCGAGCATTTAGCCTGATGTTTTGTGCAAGCTTGCTTATATTCGGCTCCAGACTTGAGAACGTGAGTCGATGATCTCCCTTTGTTGCGAATTCCAATCTGTTTCTACTTTCCGTTAGCGAAGCCAGTGCTAAATCCACATTCGGTCAACTATGTGCATGAAAAGGCAAGGAAATATATTTCAGCCATTTCCACCGTATGGGAGCTATGTTAACGGCATCAGACCTTATCAAAAATCCTTTTATAATGCATGAATTTGTATCTTGCTAGTGTGTCGATTTGAAACTTTGTGAGACTTTGCTGGAATCCAACGCTAACTTCGCTAATATAGCTAAAATGCAAATCGGGTTTTCTATGTTAATGAGCTCGTGAAACCCGCCTTTCATTTCTTTTCTGAATTGTTGTAAATGACTGACATAAACAATTAGGTATTCATCGTTCAACTCCTCCGTGACTGTAACGAGAATTGGGAGCTGTGAAAATGCCAGACGTCCGATGTTTTGAGCACACACTTCCAGCATTATAAGAAAAGCGATAATAACCTCTTTACTGGAGATGAGATTACTCAACTTGTCGAAGGGTTTTATTTAAAAAGTTGTTTTTCAAAAACATCAGCCAGGTAAAAGACATCTGGCTTAACGGTTAGCAGTTTTCTTTCATAATCAGTTCCAACAATAAATGTGCTTACGATATCCCACAGTGCAACAAAACGGCGACGACGGTTGCTCTTGGCAAGTCATCTAACTTATGTACGCAACAGGAGAACCTGGCAACAATTACAGTTCTCTTCACACAACTGTTATCAAATACGAGTTTGTAGAGCGTTGTTTTGCTATTGTTGACTTCTATGTTAACAGTTGACAGTGAATCGTTTAAGCATCCACCCATTTTCTTAGCCATTAGGTAATCGCGATAAATCACACAATGAATTGCATGGAGAGAAAAAGTAAAGGTTTTAGATAGGCAATAAATCTTTTATATTTTACTTCCACTGCGGCAGAACATCTGTGCAGATGGAACTATGTTCTGCATTGGAATGGAGCTTTCAGTTAGATAGCTACTGACTACCTCAAATATAGACTGGCCCTTTGTATGAGTTTTACTTCTCTGGCAAATAGAATCTGTTCCACCACTTATCATTGAAAAATGGAACAGATATCACGAGAATAGCCTCGTCAGGTAACTTAGATTCACCTACTTGTAGCGAAGGCTTTTTGGAGTTTAGTTCAGTACTTAAGGTGCTTATATGTGCTGAAGCATCTCATCTATTCGCCTAGATACAGTCGAATTGCTAAGCGGAGTGGATAAAACTGCTTCTAGGGGATTCATATTCATTAGGTCAGACAGTATCCTTAATAATAAAAGCAAGCTAATGTTTTCTCCGAAAGCATACGGACTGCGATTTATGGTCTTCAACTTGCTGGTATTATAACACACCGTAAATCCAGTCACCAATATTTTACCTTGTCAAAAACTAGTCTTAAACTTGTTCTATTTTCGATATTGTCCCATAGATTTTTGAAAAAGCCACAAACTTTCCAATTTTGTCCTTATAATCACTTTCCAAATAATTATTACATTTATATGGTCCTTTAGTTTCAATCGTAAGAGGTTTTTTATCTATTAACTACCCTAGGTAAAGTGGGGTTTTGTGGTGAAGCGATAAATCCAGATGACATGTAATGCACAAAGTACTGCTGGGGAGCTGATTTCTGAAATATCTCACTGCAAATGATTCATATGTAAGAAAATTTTACCTTGTTATTATTTTATTTTTCCAATACAATTTTGTCATCGGTATTAAATAACATCGTTCCACAAAGCGAAACACGCAGATGTTATGAATTTTTGGTGCCTCTCAATTTATTCTTGCTTGACCGTCAAGTTATAGGACAAGACATTTAGTACGCATAATTGTAACACCAGTTGGTGTCTACAATGTTAAAATGTATGACTGTAGAAACACTGCTAGATGCGATCCAAAGTTGCTTTCTGAGAATGATGTCAAAATATCCTGGCAATCTAAAAGTAATGAAGCAAACTTCTTGAAAGGAACCAAATAAGCAACTGAATGGCACTTAAACAATGCTCACTGGACACACTCATCACAGGAAAGTTAAACCAAACAGGGACGGAAGGTAATGTGAAAGACAGGAGAGATAAACACGGAAGAGAATGCGGCATAGTTCAAGACACCGGTACAAGTGAGTCTACAACGAAATTAATAATGCATACCGGCGGTTGCTTAACATAGTGCCAAATGCGTGTTGGAAAGACATTTGATTTTGATGAGTATTAGAGGAAGTATCCTAAAGTGCACATCATATTACATCTACTCATCAAAGGAACCAGATGTCCACACATATGATGAAAGTTGACAAAGAAGCGCGCCAATGTGCAAAGTTCAGCTGAACTCTATATGAAGAAAGCGTTATTACGCCTCCTAGCTGTTTCGACTGCTAGTCGGAAGGAACAAACCTTCTTCAGAGTTAGTATCCCGCGCGCGAAGAGTAGCTATTCAAATTCAGAACCTTGCGAGCTAACATGAACTAGCCGCCTGACGTATAAGCGAAATGAAACTGGAGACAAAAGGCGCCTAACTTAGTGTTACCGCACAGAGACCAGAACATGAAAGACTGACCGGCACATGACTTGTCATACAGTGGTAGAGTCCTGAGGAAAAAGCATTGTCAATGTGGCAGCGCCGTAACTGCCGCAGTGTTCTGACAATAGTACGCTAGGTTCCCTGCCGCTTGCACCGTGCCTACATCCGTGTTTTAGATGAAACTCCAATTCCTCACTGTTAATAGACATCAATGTCCTGGGAACGAATCGGTGGTTAGTTTTGCAATGTTAAGCACAGTATGATGACCGTAGGTTTGAGGTGAGCCCAGCAAAATTTGCGCGTTTAGCGAAGCTATGCCAGCTCCGCAGTAGAAGGTCTACCCGACCTGGATTTCACAATTTCGTAGACGGCCACTTGCGCGCGAGCGATTCACTTCACTGACCGATAGATTAGTGCGCGGGCAGAAAATGTTTTAAAAATGCTTTTTTCCGGGTAATCACAACTCACTTTTCAGACCATGATTCCGTATAGCCCTTCCATGACCTCCTAAAATAATTCACATCCCGCTGCCCCCCGGGGAAATCTCTGTGACGCCCAGGGGAGTTATTTGACCCCCGTTGAGAACGGCAGATCCAAGCGATGGAATGCCTTTTACAAATACAAGGACATCTCATCAACGGACTCTCTAGCGTCAGCTGACTGTCCAACAACTACTTGGGAATAACAGATTTGTTGTGCACGATCGCAGTTGACAAAAGACGTGTTGCTCGGGAGCAATAATTTTCTAGCTAACACATCGACACATCGGACACGATATATTCCATGACCATAAATAATACAGCGAGAATGAACACTGGGTGTTAGTTCCATGGCTCAGTTCTGCTTCCACATTTGTGAATCGTATTGATTATTCCAAATTGCGACGTCGCAGGAATCTGGTTCTGGAGGAACTGTGCCAAAGGTTTTGCCACTTGTCTTGCGTTTGCTCCCAGTACTTCTGTGCGAATAGTGTCCACTCCCGGAGAGCTGTGGTTGCGCAGAAACGTGAGCTTCTGCAAAACAGCTTTTGACATTAAAAGAGATACGGGTGGGTCCTGGAGGCAGGAAAAGAAAAAATGGAAGATGGCCTGATGGCAAGACTCTCGGAAATTTGGGAGCATGTTGCGTCCGCAACAGGTTTGCTGCTTCTATGGCTGTTTTAGTGGGACCAGCAGTCGTCCAGGGCGGAGGAATTCCCTGTCTCACCTTACGAGGTGCACTGAGAAACTGGTAAAGCAGTTGTGGTTAGCGCTACAAGTTTTCGCCATTTTATGCCGATATGCGACTTTGTCATCTCTGAGCAGTTGAGTGCAGTGGTTACGAGAGTGGGCTACGTAGTTGTCCCAATTACCTGGTCTTGGTAATGATCTGTAGTCTCCCCAGGCTGCATTGCGTACAATCAGCCATTGTTAGTTCTGCCATGCAAGAAAGAAACTGCTTTAAACCCATTACAAACCCTTGTCTCTGAGGCAACCATAACCAGTTGATTGCATTTTTCTCACGAATTCAATCCAAGCAACCTAAGGGTAACCTTCAGCGAGGAACGACCAGGCGGTAGAACTGTAGAACTGGGATAAGCGATTGAAGTGCGTAAAGATGCGCACCAACTCAGATTGCTGGTTTCGATATTCCACATGTCAGATAAAGTGGAAACTGATGTGTGCAGAATCACTGTAACCATCATTGTAATCATATGTTCCTCTCTGGTGAACACACGATCCAGCAATGATTGTCCGTTACCTGTTCTGAAACGAGTGAGAGTAATGCTGTGATTGTGAAGTGGAACACTGGTACTAAGCTCTTGCAGATCTGCATTGAATGACTTTTCCATTTTAGCAGGGATTTCTAAACAGCTCATGTTTAAATCATCCATGATATGATAAGAGTTTACTTGAACGACTGCTCAATGCTTTTGTGTCCAAAATGTTCATTTTCAATGTTGACCGCCATGTTTCAAGCAGATGGATGTCCAGTTAAATCCGTCTGGCGACATCACTGGAGGCATCCGGAAAGAAAATGCAAACAGTTTTGATGCCACTTGCAAAGGGTTACAGTGCGCCGAATTTTATTATGTCCAATGTATATTTTATATACCATTAAAACAATAGCTGCCCAAGAGCACTGCGTAGGCTGGGATTTGTGTGCTTTCACTAGTACTACTTGTTTTCGAGCATTAAGTTACACTGTGAACCGGGAAAAGAGCCGTTCTCTATCTCCATAGCACAACAATCTGAAATTAGATTTTCATGATATACTCCATTAATGACACTATGTAAGTCGAGGGAAATTAGGATTGCCGATATAACAAGATCTTGTGAGACAGTGGGATTGTTTAGAAATTCTAAGTGACACGTTGTGCGGGATCGATTATTACAGAGACTTTGCTAGCTGTGGCTTATTGGCCGTCTTGAAAACAAGAATTTGAACGTCCTAACTTCTACATTTTACTCTAACATATTTGTTTGAATGATTGTTTGACTTGTTTGGCGACAATTTTAGCCATGAACAATGTTAGAGAGGTACACAGTGCTGTCTCTGTTCTTTACAATTTGTGCAAACGTGAAATTCCACCGTTAGTGAAATTCAAGGGGTAAAACAGTTAACTAGATTCCGCAAGTGCAGTAACTGCAGGAGACCGAGTAAAGTCATGCAACAGACTGGGCCAGTCGGTATAAGGTACACCACTTTCATTCCTGTGAAACTGTGAGTCACGTGGCTAATGCAGATGTAAATAAATGAATAAGCTGTGTATATTTCGACCACGCGAGAAGCTATTCTGTAAAAGAAACATATAAACATGTATTATAATTGTTTCTTACTATTGGACATTGAATTATAAATATTGGCGGAAATAGTATGTATAATTGGGCGACAACGAGTAGTCAAAATTGGTTTGTCTGATAACCATTCAACGCACCAGATTTATTCTCAAAAACACAAGAAATATTCGGACCGGGAGAAGAAATGCGACGAATGCAGCTGTGGGCCAATTTGTGACATATAAGTGTTCATTTAGCCTGCATACAATTGTATGTTCGTAACGTCTTTCATGCGCTAGGGATACCGTTTTCAAAAGCATTGTGCACATATTGGGTTTGCCCCAAAGATATTAACTACATGTTGAACGGCCACACACCTATTAATTGCAAGCAGTAAAACGCCTTATTTTCCAGACTGCACTGCTTACGTAGATGAGAACATGAAGGGACTCAGTAATAATTGCCTGATTCACCCAAGTGTTGACTGCTCGCTGTTTCACTAAGTGGTTTCCGATGAAGATCTCGCACTGCTTGCTAGATAAACCCATGGACACAGTTGACTTTATTCTTTTAGTAAATTATTTTGCATATTAATGCAAGCATTCATCTAAAATGTTAAAGCCAGTACTTTGTTTTTGATTTTACCTGCACGTATTACCTTACCGAACGGTATAACATTTGTCGCATATTTGGTTCCGACCTCGTGGGTAATAAAAGTAGGTACGTGAATGCAGTATGTAATAAGATTAATAATCTTGAGTTCCACTGTCTACAGCCCTAAAGTCCATGTGATATTTAGCTACAGCATTTTAATTTGCAAATGCTTTAACATTTATTAGCTTATTATGAATTATAGCCATACCAAATTACTCCAGTGTTGATCTGGAAGAGTACGGGAGTACATTAATGAACAGAGACTTCAGTTAGCATTGTGACAATTGAGAAGTGGCAACTCTATAAAAACGATCGCCGAGGAATTTGACTTGAACCGATGTAATTTAATTTAGCAGCGAGACCATATAGCAATTGAGTTTGCTGAATTTTCGAACTCTTTTTCAATTTGCAACACAATTTGTTTTCACACTGACTGTAATTTTATGTCCCAGTATTAACCTTATAAAATCAAATCAAGTACAGACCCACATATGTTCGCCGGAAGGAATCCTCGCCACCATATTGCAGAGTAGTTACAGTGACACGATTCATTATTTCCCAGAATTGTTTATTTTAAATTAGCTGAACGTGAAGACATCCAACAATCAGATAACGTACTTATGGACGTTATGACTGCAGTATGTCTACTTTGCTGTTCGAGAAGTATCAACAGCTGGGCCTACTAGCTTGTACTAATGTCCCTTTATTACCTAACAGAAACGTTTACATTTCTTTTTATCTAAATTTGGAATACAGGTAAGTGGGCCCTAATGATAGGCCTGCGTATTTGGTTGTCAAATATCTATGTGCGGAAACAGAACATCTAGCTCCCAATAGTGTCTTATGAAATCTACTTGTAGACTACACCAAAGTAAGTGAACTCCAACACTACCGTACTTTTTATTGGAACCGTTTTTTTCTAGATTTTTGTAATAGACCTGTATTTCAACGACGCTTCAGGATTGAACTTAGTCCACAGTTTAATGCAGCACTTAGATATAGAAAAGAAACACTAGTGTTTATCTTGAAGAACAAAGGCGATCGACGTTTGGCATCTCATCTAGCCGGAGAGATGAACCGACCATAATGATTCAGTAATGAGATCAAATATGAATGCCCAAGTATGATTGGGGAATTTCTAGTGAAAAATCCTCCTACTTTAATTAAACCCCCTAAAATACTCAGCCACTATCCTGCAACTAGATAAAATAAGTCTAAGGTTCACAAATTTAAGGCTGGTTTATTTCATGTAGGCATCTCACTCTTTCACTGGAAATATGATATCGAACGTAACTGAGGCTGCATTTTCGTGTGTTCAAAGCCGAGATTTTGGCTCTAAAAAGGAAAGGTTAAAAAGTCACCACAATAAAAAGCATGGCGCAACAGAAGCAAGAAGACAAGAAGGCCAGTAAAACCAATAAGGAAAAACCGTCGTCCATTGTACGAATCCGAGTAGTAACTTAGGTTTGCGGGAGTTAATTTGCTAGAAGTCGAGCTGGATAAGGAGAGTCGTCTGTATCGTTCTAAAACGAGTTGGAGTGGTTTTAACAGTGCTCGTCGTTCCGTTTCCTTATTCTCAAAGCTTCCAAACATAGTAACGCAGCCCTCAGACGTCTCCGCGTTGATATACATCTCAGTTTGGTCGATTTTGGCACGTGGTCGTGTGCAGTCAGCTGATACTCAGTTCATCCCCTGTTACACGCATCTTGGTGCATTTTTATCGCAAAGCAAATGGTTGTAAAATTGTCGACGAAAATTTTTCAAGGTATATGATCTTATGCCTTTAGGCACAGAATGCTTTCCATACACTGTAATTTAACATAAAGTTCGAGACTAATCGCAACAATTCTCACTGTTTGTACTGTCTACCTTTACTTTCCTAGGTTGTTTGAATATAAATTCCATTTCATCCCGCTGTACAGTGAGTTACTCAGAGTTTCCAATATTCCAAATCATTTTGAACACCTACGGGCACTCAACGCCCCGCACTGCTAGTCCTTGGGAGGATGTTGCTTACCGAAACGCCACCACAAGGCAACAGCTTCATTTCCTCCATGAATGCTTAGGAAGAGATATTCTTCCTGGCCGTGTCAACTGTGGGGGATCGACGCGCCATCCACCGGCGTGGACAATTGCGCGCCAATTCGGAAAGCGTATAGTACGAATGATGATCTCAGACGCCCACAACCGTAGCAGAAAACATGGAAAATATCTAAACGAACAGCGAACTACGTATTTACAAACAACTGGACAACAACTGCCTGAACAAGCGCAAATAGTAATAGAACGCAAATCTAAAATACAAAGCGAAAAGCAGACTGTGCTTCACCAGAATTTGACCAAACTGATAACTAGCAAAGACGAATGCATCGATAATGCTTGAATCAGGAACCTGTCAAAACGGCCACTCACTGGTAGGGAACAACAAATTGTCATCAAATATTAAAACTATAACTGCAAAGACGCGAGAACGACGGAGTTTCTGGCACGAGTTGAAAGTGCCTTACAGTCCAACGGACTAGATAAAGAAAAGCAGAAAAAACAGATATACAGTCGTCACATCCATGATCCAGTTAAAGCAATGCAATAGGACAAGAGGAAGAAGCAATAAAAGCTCTGAAATCGGCGAATCAATTGTTATTCTACCTGTTGACACAGGACGGATGAGAGCAATTATGGACAAGGCAACTTACATCGAGAAAGCAAAGCAACTTCTGAACGATGCTACAGTTTACCAATGTATGGAAAACGACCCAACAGCACAGCTGACGAACTAAAGAAACACAGAGTTGGCAAAGCTTAGACAGTCGAATGTAATAAAGCAAGAGCTACGACATGGAATGAAAACACGAGACTCGAACAATGCACAAATTTATGGACTACCAAAGGTATACAAGGATGGAGCACAGTTACTATCGATTGTGTCAGTTACAGGCGCGCCCACCTGCAATCTAGCAAATGAATTATGGAGGCACATCAATCACCTAATCAGCAAATCGCAA